CTAGTTCTCCTAGACTGCCTACACAGCCAGTCAGAAAAATCCCCTCCCAACCACATGGTTAGCCAGCTGGAATTAGTTGCAGCATATCCACACGTGCTCCTCAGTTTCTCCAAAGTACTTCCCTATGATTTTCCTGGGAGCCACCTTCCTCATGTGTAGAGGATTGCATCATGCAAGCTGATGGGATTTGTGAATGCACTATGCTCTCATTATACTCTCTCAATTGTTTGAAAAATTTGCTTCCTTGGCAGATGAGTAGGAGTGCATTTTGAACACATCATCTGTATCCCCACTCCAGGTTTCTGGGAAGCGTAAACATTAGCCTTTCATTTGCTTCCCCAGTGCCATACAAGAAAGTCTCAAAACAGTCAGTCTGGCACAATCTTATGGCAGGCAAAAAATAAAAATCACAATTTTCCTCAAATACAAAGTTTTACAGATTCAGCATTGGCCTTAATTGCACCCAAAAGCAAAAAGGCAAAGAAAATTGGCTTCCTGTCTTAGAAGGAAATGTAGTCCCCTCAGAGCTTTCCAGATGACATGATGCTCTCTCCATTTCAGATTTAGATCTTGGTATTGACTAGGAATCATCCTCTCACTTTCACCAACCAGACTTGACTTGGTTCCTGCAAAAATGACCTCATTCTTAAAGGGCTGAGATATCTCACCCCCTCCCTGTTCCACTACTCTGGACCCACCCTCACAGAGTTGTGTTCAATATTTGAATAATACCTAAAGAAAAAGAAAATGAAGCTTCTTGTCTCAGGAAAACGAAATCCCTACCCTAATCCCAGATCATGTGGTGTTCTCTCCACCTAGTAATTATGGATGTGGGATAAATTGGAAGTCACCACCCCCTTGATAAATTAACCTGGGTGAAAACTCAGTTTCCAAGATTTTATCAGCACATACAGTCATCCAGCTGGGGTCTGGACAGATTTTCCAAGTGTCCCTTTCTACAAGGGGTATACCAAAATTGCATTAGACATGCCTGTACCATAAACGATCCCTGTAGTAGCCCAGGCAAATTTTCTTTGGATCCTTATTCTAAATGGCACCCAAAAGTGGATCTTTGCGTCTTCAAGGACAGTCCAAATGGAATTGCTTACTCACCTGTCAGGACAAGTAATTTCAGTCAGAAAAGTGACAAAACAAGGTCATAAGAAGCCCAAAGATGAGTGAAACTCCCAAGAAGGGAACTAAGCACTCTTAACACTAACTTGGGATTTTCAAGCAAACAGGTAAACTCTGTCTTAGGAACTTGTGAGGCATGAGGATATTACTATAAGCCAAACAATCTGAATCTTTTTAAATGTAAAAAGAAAGTTTTTCAAGTAGGTACTAGTGATCTAGTAATTCAAATGCTTGCTTTCTTTCTTTCTTTCTTTCTTTCTTTCTTTCTTTCTTTCTTTCTTTCTTTCTTTCTTTCTTTCTTTCTTTCTTTCCTTCCTTCCTTCCTTCCTTCCTTCCTTCCTTCCTTCCTTCCTTCCTTCCTTCCTTCCTTCCTTCCTTCCTTTCTTTCTTTCTTTCTTTCTTTCTTTCTTTCTTTCTTTCTTTCTCTCTTTCTTTCTTTCTTTTTTTTTGTGAGGCAGGGGGGTTAAAGCGACTTGCCCAGAGTCACACAGCTAGTATGTGTCAAGTGTCTGAGGTCGAATTTGAATTCAGATCCTCTTGATTCCAAGGCTGAAGCTCTATCCACTGTGTCACTTAGCTGCACCCAAATGCTTTATTTCTCGTGTTAGACTCTATCCATATTTATATAGGATTTACCAGTACAGTGAATTTTAATATTTAAACACTAAATGAATCAAATGCAGAAGTTTAAAAAATTTACTTTAGTAGAAATTACTTGTGAGGGAATATACACCAGAAAACTAACTGTAGAATTACATTCTTTTTTTTTTTGCACCAGTTTCTCTAGTATCCCACAAATAAAAGTATCCAAAATTGAAAGTCCTGGGTGGAACTGATGGGGTCTCCCATGTTCCAGGCTCCCATTGCAAGGGAAAGATTGGAAATCAGAAAGAAAATACAAAACCTTTAGAAGGAAGTTGAGAAGGATACCAAAGGCAGAAGGTGACAAGAAGAGTTACTTTTTTCTGATATAGGAAGGGAGAAAGATGAGAGAATGGCAGGAAAATACAATGATGTCTTTAAACATATATATGAAGAGGGGTGGATGGCCTTGATTTTAGTGATGTAAGAGATGGGATTATTTGCCACAGGGATTGAAATTATGGTGATTTGAGGTGACAGAATAGGAAGGAACAGCTACTGTGGGGAATGGTAAGGGGAAAAAATACTTTAGAACAAAAGGATTGTCAGGCAACACTGAAAGCCCAGCCAAAGTTAGGGAGTTATGTATTTACAGTGGACTCAGTTTCTTAGTGTAACAGCAGAGAATACTGGAATCTGACTTAGAAATAACTTCAAATATCATCACCTTCAGTTTATATGTGAACGGGAATATTATGCCCGATGTGTCCAACAACCTGTCCACCCCATTTGAAGACATTGAATTAGAAATCTGTTGATGGGGAGTTAACAAAGGTTGAACATGAGGTGAAGGATTCTCAAGTGAGGGAGGATGGCAAGTAAAATAGTTAGTTTTTCATTTTCCTTATAGAAGAGGAAATTATCTTAAGTGAAGTTATACACTAAGTATACCAAAACTATGCAAGTTCCAAATATCATGTTTTAATACTGTGGATATTAAAGTGCCGTATTTGAAGCTGTTATTTCTGAGGGAAGACAAGTATTGCAGTTACACTCACAGCAGCAATTGTTATCTTGAAATTCATTTGTATGAGTACCATCAATTTTAAAGCAAAATGTATACACGTTTTGTATGCCATCAAGAAAGAGGAAAGCATTAAAAAGAAAAGGAGAACTGAATAAAAGGGAACAGATGATAGAAAATGAAATTAGTCCAGAAGTCTACAAAGTGTACATTTTTGTATAACAGTTTGCTTGGGAATCAAATCTTGAAGGAGAAAAAGTTGAAATATGGGGCAGAGGTCTCTTGGAAAAATAATTAAGAGCTTGAAAAGTTAATTTTTACTTTTTTCTGTATCAGGAGAGAAGGGAAAAAAGGATTGAAGATTTAAAAATTTGAAAATGTAAAATTTAAAAGTTACGTAAGCAGAGTTTCCCAGTGGGTTGTTTTGATCTACATCCAACTTGACGTGCCTGGCTGTCCTAATTAGATAGTGACCTACAAACAAGGTGAGCAGGTCTGACTGGAAAGAACAAAGCAGACATTGCATAAGGTTGTGAAGAACTTTGAATCTCTCGTAGTCTCTGCACTGAGTACATTGTTATAGATGGAGCTCGTATATAGGTATATGTGTGTGTGTATATGTATATATAATATGTATATGTATATATATGTAAAAGCAGGATTAATCAAGTAGCATCCAAGTACAGTGGTTGAGATTCAAGTAAAAATATTAATTTAATAAGGGCAAGAGGAACAACACCTTCATGTTCATCCTAAAGTTTGCGCTAGAAATCATCACTGCATTTAATACAGATCAAAAACATATTTTGTTTTGAATCAGTTTCTAAAAGGAAAATAAAATTGACTCTGTTACAAGGAGTTGAGTGTAGAAAGCTTTAGACAAAGATAGTGCAAAATGTTCACATTTTACACAAGACTGTGCTGAGTGTTTGTCACTCAGCAATTCAATAGCACTAAGAGAGTGCAGACCAAAGTAATTTGTTTATAACTAGTTAACCAGCATGGAATGTGAGTCTTACATGGTGTAATTACATTCTGTTTTCATTCAACTAGTTTACTATGTCAGTTTTAGTAGCTACCATCCATCATTGGCGAGACTGACTTGTGCTGTGGTCCTGTGAAGAAGCCAGAGTGAATAGTGACCAGCTGATGTTTTGAGCTTGGTTTCTTGCAGTTGAATGTAAGCTTTTTCAGGGCAGCACTTGTTTCATATTTGTCTTGGTGTCCGTAAGGGCGTAGTGCCTTACACATGGTAAGTGCTTACGTGCTTGTTGTACTGAACTGGATCTGTAAAATGGGGGCCAGGGAGTGACTAGAGTGATCTTTGAGGTCCCTTCTTATTCTGATAGCCAATGATTTTCTCTTGGATTATGGAATATGACACATATTCATATAAATACATCATGATTTGCAAACTGTTAGATTTGGTAGGAAGTAAGCCTTTGTATTATTTTCCCCCTCTATACTAGGGTTTTTAACCTGGGAATTCACCCTAAAGATTCTGTGGAGAAATTTCAGAGAGGTTATGAACTTGGATGGGAAAAAAAATTTTCACTAATCTCGAAAATTTATCATTTCTTTCAATTATTTAAAAACATTCTGAAAAAAAAATTATTCTGAGAATGAGTCCATAACCTTTTGGTTTGGGTCTATGATGCAGAAAAAGATTAAGGACCCCTGCTTTCTGTAGGTTAACCTTTTGCAAAAGGATTGTGTTGAAATTATAGTCCATATATGTTGAGTACATACAAGGAGATAATGAATAGTAAGGCATTCAAATCCTAGGTGGTGGATGAGAATTGCTTCCTAATGTTTATTGATAATATTCTTCTACAGGTGAATTTGGAGAGCTTTAAAAATGTTTTAGTAGTGGTTTTTACAGGCAGTAGGGTATAGAAATCTATCTTACCCTACAGGAAAATAGAAGGGGAAGGGAATGGGGGGGCGGTGATAGAAGGGCAGTTTGGGGTAAGGGGTAATGAGAATGCACACCATCATGGTATGAGGGGAGAGAAGAGACTGGGAGAAAATTTTGGACTCAAAATCTTGAGGAAGTGAATGTTGAAAACTAAAAATAAATAAATAAATTGGGGGGAAAATGTGTTTTAGCAGAAAACTAAGCTTTATTAGTTTTAGCAGTAACTGAGAGAGAAATTCTGTGTTCTCTTGTTTTTTGGGTTTTTTTTTGTCTTGATACTGTTTTATCCAAGGAAAAAGAATATTGACTTTGTTTTGTTTTGTTTTTCTTCTCTTTTAAAAGATAAGGCACCTTTGTCAAAGAGCCTTTTACTAGTACCCAGCGCCCTTTCGATTTTATTGGCACTGCTCTTTCAACATTATCAGAATTTCTTTGTGTATAATCTACAAGCTGTAAAGAATGATTTGCAGGTGAGTAATTGATCATTTGTTTAAGACCTGGAAAAGGGAAGGGTGAAGGGTGAAGGGGCACTTGTTGGTTTTTTTGGATTTGTTTCCTGTCCCCTCTACTACCAGTGTGTCCAGATAAAATATACAATAGAACTAGTGCCTTGTTGTATATACCACACTTATAAGAAAAGTGGTGTATATATCAAAGCTGTCATTTATTATCTGTTGTTATGATGATTTTCCAAATCAAGTTGACTGATATTTTTAGCAAGATCAATTTTTACAGCATACTTATTCCCTTATATGAAGAAAATATCATTCAGTTTTATAAGCATCATGGTGCAGTGGATGGGACCAGTGGATCTTAGGGCCTGGGTTTGAATTCAGTCTTTGCAGTTTACCACCAGGGAAAGTCACGTAACCTTTTTGGACCTCAGGTTCCTCACCTGTAAAATGAAGAGGCTGGATTAAATGACTCCAAATGGCCCTTTCAGTTCTAAATCCATGATCTTAGGAAGATACAGCCTCTGCTGTGCCACCGACAAGCTGTGTGGCCTTTGGCAAGTTGTTTAACATCTCAAAGCCTTAGTTTCTTCATCTCTGAAATGAGAGGACTGACAAACTGGAGAGCATCCCACTGGGGAGGAATAGGATGGGGAAGAGCCTCAAGATTGTGTCATACAAGAACAGGCTGAAGGAGCTGAGGGCATTTGTTCTGAAAAAGGGGAGATTTAGGGAGAATAAAACTCAGTGAAATTTAATGGAGATAAATATAAGGTCTTATACTTGCTTAAAAATCAATAAATATATAATGAATGGGGCATAGCTAAGCAGCAATTCATCTAAAACATGGTCTGGGTCAATATGAGTCAATAGTGTGATATAGCAGCCCCAAAAGCTAATGCTATCTTAGCTTGCTTTGAGAGCTGTAACGGCCAGGGTAATGGTTTTACTAGGCTCTGGTCAAAACATGTCTGAATTATTGTGTTTTGGCCTAAGTAATATATTTTAGAGAAGTTGAAGAATGTCTAGGGGAGAGTGACCAGGATGATGAAGTCAGATGAGATCCATATGAAGATTAGGGGAGAGAAATGTTTTGCCTAGAGAAGAGACTGTGGAGGAGGACTTGTTAGTTGTTATGGGAGGTCATTAGCCTTGTTCTTGGGTTCATGGGACAAAAATAAGGATGATGGGAAGAAATTGCAGAGATAAATTTAGACTTGGTTTAAGGAAAAACTTTCTAAAAATTGGAACTGTCACAAAGTGGAATGGGCTGTCTTGGGAGGCTGTGGGTTTTACCTTGTACAGTCTTTGGAAAAAGGAACATAGTATCATTTGGGGTTCTCTTGGCAAAGATATTGGAGTGGTTTGCCATTTCCTTCTCCAGCTCATTTTACAGATGAGGAAATTGAGGCAAATAGGGTTAAGTGACTTGCTCGGGATCACCCAGCTATTAAGTGTCTGAGACCAGATTTGAACTCAGGAATATGAGTCTTCCTGACACCAGACCTGGCACTCTATCCACTGTGCCACCTAGGTGCCCTGACTTCAGAACCAGTGGTTAAGGTTGGATGAGCACTTATAGAATGTATTATAGAGGAATTTTTTTACAGGTACAGTTTAGACCAGATGATTCTGTGCTTCTGAGTAATGGGTAGAAGTTCCATAGAGTGAAATTAAGCCTATCGAAAAGTAGATTGGGTTGCCCCTGAAGTCTTTTCCAAATCTCTGATTCTGTTAATTTAAAGGAAATGAAAAGTTACATTAATTTGATGTTTTACAATTAGAAGGGAAGGGAACAAGCTTTTATTAAAGACCTATTATAATCTACGTCTTGAGCTAAAGTAATTTACAAACGTTTGGCCAATATTAGAATTAGAAAGAATATGGCACTGTAGATTTGGAGGATATGTTTTCGTCTCTTAGATGTGGAAGTGTCACAGCTGATGGTGTGCTTATCTGTGAGTAAAGGTGTGAGAGTAAAGATATGAGAGCAAAGTGTGATGTATGGCACTCAACCATTTCCTTACTAGGCCCACAGGTAACTTTTCTTTATACTGTTTTCAGCTCAGTACCTTCTGCATTCAGGTCACTTGGAATTTTTTCTGTTTCTCTTTAGCTGTGCTAGTTAGGTGTTACTGTGAATACAAAAGAAGGGGAAATTTCTTGAGGAGCTTCAATTCTGGCTGGCCAACAGACTATGTAACTGCGTTTGTGATGTTGCATTTTCATTTTGCTTTTTTACCTCAAACAGCAAGTTTCCCTAATTACAGCTTAGGAAAAACTTCCAGGATTTACATCTCAAATTTAAATTTGTCCTGGTGTAAAAAGCCAATCATTAGAGAGTATTTCTATATACTTGCAAGACAAAACCCAAACAAGCTTTTTGGCAAGTTTACACATTAAAACAATAACCAACAATAGCCAAATTATTTTAGTGATAACCAAATTATGAAAAATTGCTTGATGTAACTGATACAGAAAGTTCACCAATTTGAAATTTGAAACAAACCTATTACCAATCAGCTGACTTCAATTTTGTTAAATTCATTTCCAAGTTACTCTACACAGAGAATCAACATCTCATCATTAACAGTTAAAACTACAACTTTAAAAGAGCATGCTTACTCAGATTCAGAGGCCAGCTTCTTTACCTTGAGCAGGATGTGCCGAACCTGGGAGATGCTTCCAGACAAAGGTTGCTCCAGGACCCAAGGCCATTGCCAGTGGGGCCCATGCTGTAACTGCTGCCCCTCCCCCCTCCTTCCTTTCCCCAGGTGAGGGAGGGTGAAATCAAAGGTGAGGGGGAAAGGGTGAAACTCTCTTCTCCTATGAGAGGGGTTAACAGATACCCTATTGACTCAAGGAGGGGAGTGGGAGAAAGGAGTGACCAGGGTTGTAAGGAGGAGTTTCAAAACTCCTTAATGATCAGTCGCAAAACTTCCAGAATCTGCCAAGATATTTTTAGCTGTTCTAACTTTTCCCTCTAACCTCCATGAAGGAGGATTCAGGAGTGTAGAGAGAAGGGAGTAAGTAAGCCTCAGGGAATCAAAAAGCAACTGCAGTTTTCCCCAATTCCCTAGCGCCAAGAGAATTGACAGAATTGGGCATAAACTTCTGGATAGGGCGTCCGTCCTTGTCCTCTGTGCTGCGGAAGGTGTGCCCAGGTCCATGACCTTGAACCGACCCAGTGGACTGAGAGCCTGAGAGAGTCAGGTTGAGTTCGAGACAGCCTCGTAACTGTCTGCCCAAAAAGCACCTCCAAGCCTTGGTGCTTGGAGAGCGACCCCAATTGAAGGGCTAGAAAGAGTGGGGAGGCTTACGTACCTTCCAGTCTTGGCTGAAGAAGAGCTTGGAGTTAGGCAGTTTCCCCGCACGGGCCACCAAAATATTGAGGTTTAGGGGTGCTAGGGTGCTGGGACCCCAAGATCATGACACACGAGTCCTGTCTGAGAGAATTCTACCCAAGCCTTCTTTCAGCCAAAGACAAGGTTTATTAAAGATCCACCATGTTAGCCAGACTCTTAAGAAATCTGAGCACCTGTGAGCCACTGACTAGATTGTAAAAATCTGAGCCCATGGCTAGATCCTAAGAATCTGAGCAGTGGCTAGATTATATAAGAATCTGAGCCTGCATTTTCATTTTGAAAACAAACAAATGCGGTATAACTTAGAATGATATTGTAGTTTAAAATAAGGTAGTGATTACTTTGGGAGTATTATTATAGTCATGAAAAACCTCTGTTCTTTTTTTTTTCACAACCTATTGGTGCCCCAGCCATACCTCTCTCCTGCTTGGTGCTGTTTTCCCCTGCCCTTCCCCTTTTCTGGTGTCTTCCTTATCTACATTGTCTTTGTCAAGAAACTTCCAGTTTCATGAGTAATTAACCACTCCTTGCCTGTGTGAACTTAATGGGAGGCAAACCTGTCACACCAGCCTGAGTAGTATTCTACCCCTTCCTATAAAACACGTGAGCTGCCCTGATCTCTGAGCTGTCCTAACCTAGGGCTGCACTTGTGAAGATGAACCCAGGAGTCCCAGGGAGAGCTTAGTATAAAGAACAGGTGCTAAGTTCTAGTGCGTTTGCCGTCCTCCTGCTGTGGCTTGAAAACCCCTCTGCTCAAAATTTCATGGCAATATCCCTGGCTATATCTCTGCCCTGCTCCTTCTTATCTTTCTATTAGGCCAGGTCCTAGTATATGGAGGTTGAAGGGTTCCACCCTGCCTTATTTTGAGGATGTCAGTACTGGCCCCAGTTTTTTGGAGTTTTTAGAGTGGACTACTCTAGTGCTATGCCCTTGTTGTCCTTGTTTCTTTACCGCCTTGCTCTCTTGGACGTATCTAGTTAAGCCACATGGCTTTCCTTTAAATATGCCAAATAAAGGGACCTATTGCTCTTAGTAGTGACTGGCTCATCTAAAGTTCCTTCAGCCCTGTTAGCAAGAACCCTCAACAGGCGTTTGAGCTGAGAAACAGTATTTGGAAAAATGAAGTCTTGTTCCAGGTCCTAAAGTTGTGGAAATCATAGTTCACGGAAGTACATTCTTCGTCAGTAGAAAAGGTGAACATGAGGCTGTGGCTCAGTAAGGCAGATGTGAGAAGCACTGAAGCCCTGCCAAAATGATCATATTTGGGAGTAATGTGAGGTGAGATTGGAGGGATATGAAGCCAGTTAATGAATAGCTTAGAATTTTAGACTTTTGTTTCTTTTTAAAAAAGGATCTGTAGAATTTGGCTGCTTTAGTCTTCTTTAGAGTAATTGTCAGTGTTTGAACATTTGGTGAGTGCAGAGCAATCAGAATTTGGTACACAGAAAAGTTACTTTATGGGTCAGTGATTCTTAGGCCACTCTCATAGACTGCAGATGATATTTACCATTTGTTGAGTTGAAAGAGCCTCTGTTGAGGTGGATAGGAGATTTATGCTTAACTTCAGCTTCAAGTTTTCCAGTTGTGACATTGAGCATAGTTGCATAATGTAAATTATAAAAAATCTTACTTAGCAGTTTTCCTTCACTAATGATCATGATATGGTTATTTTCAAGCTGGATTGTATTGTATTTTGTAGTAGCCTTCACATTTTATTGAGCATCTTTAGGCCTGCAGGCTTATCAAGCATCTCCTAGTACTTAGGCCTTGGGTGAATGCTTTTATAAGTCCACTGCATATGTGATAGAAGTTTTGATGTGGTCTGTTGTTGTTGCTACCTCCAATGTTATAGCAAATTTTTATTGTACTATGTTGTGGCCTGAAAGCACATTATGACACTGGAGCAAAATCATACATTCCTCCAGCACGAAAAGATGTTAGAACTCTAGTGTAGCCTCTTTGTCTTACATAGTATGCACTTAAATATGTATGTTAGCAGTTTGGAAGGTAGAAAAGGCTTTCTTGAGAGGTCCTACGTTCCTTTTTATTGGATATAACTTTAAGTAAAGACCATATAACCACTTGGCAGAGTTGCTATTTGGGAGACTTCTGTTCAGGTACAGGTTAGAGTAGCTGACCTTTGAGGTCTGGGTTATCTTTCTTTGATTTTAAGAACTGAGTTTTATTTTTTAATGATTCCTTTTTACTATATTATGCTGCCTTTCTAATCTCTTAACCTTGCTCTGCTAGATGCCTTTTAAACCTCTTATTCTTGATATATTAATAATAGGGTAATGATAAATGATTTGTGTACACCAGAAGAATTCTATAGACAGTGGACCTGGATTTCAACAAGACATTTAACCAAGTGCATCATGCAGTTCTTGTGGACGGTCTGACAGTCTGTGGACAATCCGAACTTATCATTTCCCTGAAGCTGCTTTCTCCAAATTTACCAGTGATCTCTTAGTTGCCAAGTCCTTTGGCCTTTTCTCAGCCCTCGTTCTCCTCGAACTCTCTGTACCCTTTAACATTGTTGATTACCTTCTCCTCAATACTCTCTTCTCTCTAAGTTTTCGGAATACTACTCTCTCCTGGTTCTCCTCCTACATAACTGACTATTCCTTCTGTTTCCTTTGCTGGATCCTCATCAACCTCTAACTGTAGGGGTCTCTTAGTTCTGTCCTAGGCCCTGTTCAAAAGAAGAGGGAGAAGACTCCTTCTATACTACTTCACTTGGTGATCTCATCTCAAAGCTTCTGATTCTCAAATCTACTTATCATGCCCCAGACTCTCTGCTGGCCTCCAATCTCACATCTCCAGTTGTCTTTCAGACATCTAGAACTGTATGTCCAGTAGACATCTTAAGCTCATCATGTCCAAACAACATCTGTCCTTATTACTATAGAAGGCAACACCATCCTCTTGGGCTCACAACCTAGGAGCCATCCTCAGCTCCTCACTATCTCTCACCTTTCGTATCCAGTCTGTTCCCTTTGCAGTCTTTTCCCTGTTTCACCTTTGCAATATTTCTTGAATATACCCACTTCTTTCCTCTGACACTGACACCTCCCTGGTGTCATTACCTCATTACCTCACACCTGGACTATTGCAGTAGCCTGCTAGTGGGTCTGTCTGCCTACGTCAGGTCTCCCTAATCAAATTCACCCTCCATTTAACCACTACAGGTGGGACCACATGTCACCTCTACTCAGTCAATTTCAGTGGTACCCTATCATTTTCAGGTTCAAATATAAAACACCACTTCATAACCTAACCCCTTCCACCTTTCCAGTCTTCTTACATCTTTCTCCCTCTGTCACAAACTCTTTAATCTAGTGACAGTGGCCTTCTTGCTGCCCCACAAACAAGATACTCTGTCTCAACTCTGAGCATTTTCTTGGCTGTCCTTCATGCCTGAAATGTCCTTCTTCTTCATCTCTACCTCCTATAAGTCCTAACTAAAACCTCATCTTCTACAGGAAGCTTTTCCTAAGCTCTTTTAATTGTAGTACTTTCCTTCTGTTAATTATTTCCTGTTTATCTTGTATATAGCTTGTTTGTACATATTTGTTTGCTTGTTGTATCCCCCATTAGATTGTGGCCCATTGTGAAGTTAATAAATCTCTCTGAGCCTCAGTTTCTTAATCTGTAAAATGGGCCTGGCTGGATGACCTAGGCTTTCTTTCAGCTGTAAGTCTGTGATCCTGTGACTTGGGAGTTGTCATAGATTATAAACTCAGGATGAGTCTTGTAATGTATTGTAATTGTAATTACAATACAGTCTTGTAATGTAGAGAAGAGTCCTACTGAGGAGAAGGAGGAAGATGAGAGAAAATGTGCTGTTAACAGTTAAAAGAACTCTACATATCAAGAATGAGTCATATTGCTAACTCAAAATTATAGATCATGAGCAAAGCATGCCTTGCCACAATCAGTTGTGTAAGAATACATAGCTTTCAGGCCTTTCATTCAAATATAATTTTATAACCATTTTGTTCCTCATACTCTGTTTTATGAAAAAAAGTTTTATGCTATGTTTTAGCCAGTTTTCTTTGACAGAAAAACCTCAACCTTTAAGAACTTCTTCCTTTCTTTTCTTAAAACAGATTACAAAGTATTCAAATGAAACAAATATTTTGAGTTAAATGTAATAAATTTTCTGTGAAAAGTACTTGAAATATCCTGACTTTTTTCTGTGCTTTTTTTGCTTTTTAGGTCTGGAGATTGATATGTGGAAGAATAATTTGCCTTGATTTGAAAGATACATTTTGTAGTAGCCTGCTCATATATAATTTTAGAATATTTGAAAGAAGATATGGCAGCAGGAAATTTGCAGTAAGTCTGTTATGAATGTTCACTTCACCAACCATTTATCAGGTGCTTTCTTTGTATAAAGGCCTTGTGCTGGAGTTTGTGGCTCTGCATTGAGAATATTGTATCTGGGTTGGATCTTGACCCTGATACTACCTGTGTGAGCTCAGGTAAACCCCACCTACTTTGGGCCTCTGTTTTCTCATCCATACACTGAAGAGCTTGTTTGCTCAACGGTCTCTTTCAGAATCACAATGTACCATCTTACATTTATGAGTGTGAGGGAAAAGGGAGTGGTATCTTTTGATTTTTGTGATAAAGATGGATAGACTCAGTGTTCTTTTATTTGAGATCATCAGTGCCATAACAAGGACTTCTTGCATCTGGGACAAAGTCAGTTGATAGATTCACAGCTTTAGAGTCAGAAGAGACCTTAGAGGATCTAGTCCAACTCATTTTATAAATGCAGAAACTGAGGCCCCAGGGAGATATATAGCATAGAATGGATTAAAATCTAGGTTCCCTAACTATATATAGTGCTGTTTCCACTCAGTCATATTTGTGATTGGAGAGTGGTAAGATGGTGTTTCAGAACAGAGTCCAAATATGGGTGCAGAAGTGCAGGAGATCCCCATTGTCTGTCCTGTGCCCTCACAGAATTTAGAAGAGAAAATGGGCAACAGAACCTTGTGGGTAGCAGGTTGGCAGAAAACTGCAAAGTTAGGAATGGGTCTCTGTGGAGGAGGAAGTATGTTCCCAGATCATCTTGGGGTAAAGTCATCCCCATGCTAGTTATGAGCTCTCAAACTCAGGTTTTCATTTTTTAAATTCATTGTTGGCATGTTCATTTAAACATTCTTATATATATTATTTGGAAATTGAACATTACTAAGGCTAATTAAAATATTTTAAAAATTCTTGTCTCAGAACAAAAAATATAATAAACTCTAGAAAATCTTAGAGAATTGGGAACTTAATAAAGTTGTCACATTCATTCACGTCAGAAATCTGCTCTGGTCTTACATATGTATGCTTTTTTGCATTCTTTAACTTTGATCTGTTAAAGTTAATCAGTTAACATGCCTACGTTAAGTACCTATTACATGCCAGGTACTCTGCTAGGTGCTGAGGATGTAGATGGAAAGAATAAAACAATCCTTATTTACAGGGAACTTTGATTCTAATAATAATGGAGGCAGCAAGCATACACCAAAGTATATGCACAGTAAATAAAATGAAAATAAGTACAAACTGGTTAATTTTAAGGGAGCTTAGAGGGAAGGCGCTAGTGGTTGGGGGATCAGGAAAGGCTTCATGTGGAAGATGGTGCTTGAATGTCATCTTGAAGGGGAAGAGGAGTTCTATATGAGGTGGAGATGAGGAGGGAGGGCACTCAGCCATGTAGCATGGCCAGTGTAAAGGCACAGATGTTGAAGATGGAACATCTTTGTGTGAAGAGCCAATGAAAGTCCATTTGGTGGATTGCGGAGTGATGCCTCATTCTGACATGCAGGTAACCTTGGGTTGTTGAAAGTTATACCTGGTGATCGAAGTTTTAGAAAGCCTTACTGAGCTGAAAATATTTGAAGTACCAATGGGTTGTTGGATTATCTTCCAAAGACAAGCCTAGCTAGCAAATTTCAGAGAAGCTCATCAACCAGAGGGGTGGCTGCCTGATGATTGTTTTTTTCTACCCTCAGTGACTCATGAAACCATCTGGAATGGTTACTATCTGCTTCTGTAGAAGAAGGGCCTGTCACAGATATTTAAATATTAATATGAAAATAACAGAAAGTTAGGTTTCTTAATGTAGTATGTTGAACTGATTTTAAGTTAGTGACTTAAGTATTTTTGTTTGTGAAATTTTTTCTTCTTTTCTTTTCAGTCCTTTTTATTGGGTTCCTGGATTTTGTCAGCTTTGTTTGACTTTATCCTTGTGGAAGCTATGCAGTATTCATTTGGTATCACAGCCACTAACTTGCCTTCTGGTTTGTAAGTAACTCCTAATAGATTTGCGTAATTTAGAATTAGATCATACTGAAGTTTTGTTGTCAAATTCCAGTAAAAGAAGAAAAACATTTTAATTTTTCCAGTGTAGATTCATTTGATGCTTAAAAAACCAGTCAGTCGTGTTTAAATGCAAGGTGTCCTAAAAGGTTAATGTCAAGTTTCAGTAAAAGAAAAAAAGTATTTTATTTTTTCCCATGTAGATTCATTTGATGATATAAAAAGAAAATCTTTCATGTTTAAGTACATGTTATCCCAAAAAGTCCTTAAAGCTTAAAACTTCATTAAGACTTTTGGGACACCTTGTATTTTCACATTTTCAGTATGTTCTGGAAGCATAGTTAATTTGAGTTACTTTCTCTTGCAACTTTTAACTTCCATAGTTAAGATGTTAGTTATTAATTCTCTCATTATATTCTTGTAGGAAAAATTAATTCTTTACGTTAGCATGTAGCATAGTATACCTGTTTTAAAACTTGTGAGCTTTTCTTCCTGCAGAACTGTTAAAGCTTAAACACATAAATTCCAAATATGATTTAAGTTTTCCAAAATGTAATTTCTAAGAAATGATAATTTTTGAAGTTTTCATGATTAGACCTTTCAGAGCAAGGTATAAGTTTCAACACATTTTAGTGTGTTACTTTGTGGACAGTGATAGGTTGGGGATTGGGTGTGTGCTCTCAGGCACATAGTGGGAGCAGATCTGGTTGGCTGGGTCAAGGAAGATGAGCAAAATGGTGCATAGCGGGGACATGGTCATCTGATTCAATGGTTATGGTAATTCTCTCCCTCAGATAACTCCTTCTTTAAAGCTTGATGCTGTGCCCAGAATGTGGTTAGAATGTAGCAGAAGTTATGTTTATTACTGTAGTTCACCACCACTGTAGGCTCATATCTGAGGCAACAGTCAGTAAATTGAAGCTCCTCTCTCCCTCCTTAAGCTCTTAACTTTCATGATAATCTTATCTATAATGATATTCAAAATGATGAATGGTGTATAAATGCCTCAAAATGTGTATTCAAATTAGTACTAGTGATAGTTTAGTTTTCTAAAGCCTTGACTTTATGTATTTCATTAGTTGTCATTGCCTATTAAAATACTTCTGACCTTTTCCCCCACTCATCTGCTTTGCTGATGATACCTACGTCTTTTTCCTATATTTTCTTTCCATGACTTGCTCCAATATCTCTAGGTTTGAGATGCAGATGAGCATTCTCACCCTTAGCTCTGTTGAGCATACTTCATTCATTCTCTTGCCAGTGCCATTTTATACAGCTGCCCCCTCTACTTGAAAGTGCCAGTTGTCAACCTTGTGTTGACACTCCATCACCTATCATAGCACCTTGGATGCAGTAGTCTGTAAAGATTTTTTAAATTGAAGTGAAGTATGAGCCTGCTGCTCAAAAGGCAGCTATGTTTAACCTACCTATATATGGAGCCCAGAATTCACCTCCACAAATATTGTATAAAGCCTGTAATGGTGACTAGTATTTTGATAGAAATAAGTGAAATAGCCAAATGTCTTTGTGTAGGTTATAGTTTGGCATGATATACCATGTCGATAGTTAAACTTTTGTAATGTGTATACTTCTCTAAATTAAATTAATGTCTAAAAAAAGTTTGTTTTTGTTAAAAATTTGATGAAGAGTGATCTAATTATTCTTCACTTTATCAAAAGTGACAGGGTAGGGAATATATGGTGATTGTAGCTATAGTCCATAAGTTCTTAGAGGGGAACTCTACAAGTGTACAAGTGTACCTGGCAGGTAGTTTTGGGGCAGTTCATTCTCCTAATTCCATCCCTTGTGCTTAAAGTCTTTAACTGAGTTTTCTTCCTCCTAAGATCTTTAGTAATTTCAATCATTTCCCCTTGTTACCCTGTTACTCACTTCTGCTATCAAAGTCTCCTCCCATTCTGGGGGATTCACTTTTCACTGGCCTTGATCTCTGCCTCAAGTGAGTAGGGGAGCAGGAGTGGGGTGGGGAAACAGAGCTGGCCACAGATGGATGCCAGTCCTCCTCCCAGGCAAATAATGCATACTAGAATTCTGTCCTAGTTTCTTCTGTTCCTCAGTTCTCTGGCTCAGTACTACTGGAACATAGCATACAAAGCCTGAACCAGCTTTTGGGAGTGGGATGGAGTTGAGGGGAGGGCAGACAGGAGTTGAATTCTTTTGCAAGCCTGTGGGTTGACTTGCACTGCCCTGCTAGAATGTAATGATAAAAGATTTTTCAATAAGCTCATTGTCTGATTTTAGTTCGTTGAAGGGTTGTTACCTCATTAGCTTTTTTGAGGTCTAAGACCTTGAAGGTGGCTCAAATTACTTTATCTTTTGTATATAATTTCTCTTTTGGAGAAGTTGAGAGAGTATGAGGATTGGAGAAAGCCTCCATCTGGTTGGTCACATGACCTCGAATCCTAATTTCATCCCATTTTTCTTCTAAGCTTTTATCTTGTGTATGAAGAATCTGTATTCACACTGCTTTTGAGAAATAAAACCTTCACAAATATGAAAAGATTTCCTTGTTTTATTTGAACTTTGTTTCTCTAGAATATTCACATGTTCCAAATAAACAAACAAAATTGTTTCAAATAACATTTTTACAATTTAACGTGACTTTAGATTGTTCTGAGGATTACTGTAAAACCTTTTTAATGAGGTCATGGATCTGAAGCTGGAAGGTATTACAGTACAGTGCAGTTCCAACTTCTTGTCTGACAGCCAAGGAGAATGAGACCCAGAGAGATGAATGATCTTCTCAGGTTGATCAAGGTAGTCAGTAGCAGAGCCAGGATTCGAATTCAGAAACTGTGACTCTGAATTGCAGCGTATGTCGTACGTGCTTGAGCACCTCCACAGATAACTTTGTGGCTCTTGGGTGGGAATGGTCTTTTACCAAAAATGTTAGTAATTAGACCTGTCCTTTGATGGCAGGTCCCCAGATGTAGATAAAAATGAATAACAGAGAGTTAATTGTGCATGCTGATATACTTTTAATGAAAATATATAAGAAATGAAAGAACTGTTATTTTACATTTTGATAATTCAAGTATTTTCGAAGATATTGTTAATTTATACCCAGCTAAATATTTAAATAAAATCTAATTTCCATATATTTAAAAATTATCATTTTAATAAGAAACATTTTTCTTAAATTTCATAATAACCGTGGCTGATTCTTTATTGGTCCAGACATGTTATTTTGATCATTCTGTAAGTTCTTGAAGAGTTTATATCAATGGATTCAACATTTTTATTGTCTCTCATTTGTTTATATTGAATGTAAACTGACCCATTATCAAATTAGAGCAACCAGTACAGTTTTTTAATTTGAAGTTACTTGTCTTCTAGGGAGAAATGTGGTTTGGATTGGAGAATTGATTTAGTCGAGAAATTGTGGAATCACTTTTTTCTCTCCATAGCACTTGCAAATGAATTAAGCTATTTTAGTGGTTTGGTGTATTATACATCAGCTTCAGTTGCTGAAATTCAGTTCTGTAAATATCTATTAATCCTTTGCTAAGCTCAAGGATTGTGCTACATACCGGGTTACAAAAAAATTCCGCCCTTAAGAAATTTGTGTTCTACTCAACCTAGCAAAAGGAATTCCCTCATATAGCAGTAGTCTTTTCTAATGATAGAAAAAGAAATTATAGCATTACATAATATGGGTCAAAACATTGGAGGCCTTGTTGCCACCCTTTTTCCTATAAGGTTATGGAAAAATGGATTCAAATAGTCATGGCTTTTATAATCCCTCCTTTCTTTGGGGTGTATTCTCCATCATACTTAATTTATAGAAATAGGGGCTAGAATAATAATACTAACAGCCCATAATTATATAGTCATTTACAATTTATGAAGTGCTTTCCTCACAACAACCCAGATTATCCCTATATTTCTGATAAGGTGCAGTTAGGTAGTTCAGGGAATAGAGTGCCAGGACCGGAGTCAGAAAGACTCCTCTTCCTGAGGCCAAATCTGGCCTCAGACATTTACTAGCTGGGTGACCCTGCAAGTCATTTAATCCTGTTTGCCTCAGATTACTCATCTGTAAAATGAGCTGGAGAAGGAAATGACAAACCACTCCAGTCTCTTTGCCAAGAAAACCCAGAATGGGGTCATAAAGAGTCAGACATAACTAAAAATAACGGTATTACTGATGAGGAAAGAGAGGCTCAGAGCAAATAAGGGACTTGGCTCAAAGTCACACAGCTGGTAAATGGGGTAGCGAGGAGCTAGAATGATAGGCTTCAGAGACCATTTAGTCCTAGTCCTATTTGACAGATGAGGAATTGAGGCACAGAGAAAATAAATTACTTGACCCAGGTCTTCTGCCTCCAAGTCCAATATTCTTTCCATTACACCAGAGATAAGACACAGCTGCTAGTATCAGAATCCTTTCCAGTGGATGTTTGGATTGTAAGTTGTTCTGGATATTGTATTGAAATCTTCAGTTCCAGATTACCTAGTGGAAAAATTCTATTTACAGAAGTTTAGCTAGATGAAAAGCTATTAGTTGATCAGCTTAATCAGATACTTTTCCCCTTCCCCTCCATTAAAATGAACTGTTTGACAGAATCAGCCATCCGACTTGGTGTGATAAATGAACTAGTTGTACTTGGACCAGAGGATGGAACTAGAAGCCATGAACCAAATTTGCAAAGAGTTAAATTTGGTCTTGATACAAGGAAAAATTTCCTACTGAGTTGCCCAAATGTGGAATGGGCTGCTTTGGAAAGTAGTTGGTTTTCCCTAATTGCAGATCTTCAGAAAAAGGTTAGATGACTGACCATCTGGGAAAAATGTTTTGTTGGGGGGTTTGTCTTCAAGTATAGGCTGGACTAGATGTCATCTTCCAAATCTGAGATTCCATTTGATTACTAACTGCCTCAATATAAACATTAAATTAAAATCATATGTCTTTTCAGGATGAATTCATATAAAGGTTTTAGGTATGGAAGAATGAATATAATAGTTACTAAAATAGCTAAGGATATTTTTTCTTTATCCTATAATGAGTACAGTATAAAACATTCCTAAAATATGTTATAAATGGAGGGTTTATTACAGTGTCATTTTATAGTATATTTAACGTACCATTTGACCATGCTAGTAACAAAAAGAAATTCTTTAATACTTGATTTTTAAAAAGGACCGATCATATCATTTCACTGTTTATATTGCTTAGTGACCGTAAGCTGCCTGACCGAAAACTCTTCCTGCGCACGCTTCGAAGATAATTTCGATATAGCATGACACTGATGACTCTAGCTTGAAATTGTTTTGAGACAATGTAATAGAGTATAACATCCAAACATGTGCTGAGATTCATGAGGAAAGTGGTAAAGGTGCTCCATGGGTTATAGCTGTTTTCCTCACGTTGCAGCATTAGAAAAGCAAAACAAATATGAAAGGGAACGAAGCAGACAAGCACTTGTACAATGAGAGTAAGAATTATTCTTATGGACTTTTCCTTGACCTTCGGTTTCAGCTTAGAAGTCCGGCCACGAAGGAGACTATTAATAATGAATGAATAGCATCCAATCATGATGAAAAGAGGAATCAAGAAAAAAAAAATCAGACGAGTGAAGTTCAGCATATTAATTGCTTTCAAGTGGATTATGTCAAAAATTTTCAGGCAGCTGGCAGGGTTTGTGTCTTTATCTGGATCTTCATTTAAAAATAACAGAGGGGTAGTGGTTGCAAGAGTCATTATCCAAATTCCAGCACAAGCTAGCACTGCTTTGCTTGTGTTCTTAAGTTCCTTGGTATATTTAGGCTGCAAAATAGCCATGTATCTGTCGGCACTAATAAAAGCAAGAAGCCAAAGGGCAATACTTGGATAAAACATTGTGAGAGCTCCAAGAATGTGACAGAAAGTTTCCCCAAAGATCCATTTACCTTTTCCATAATAAACCATACGGAAAGGTAAGCACAATATAAAGATTATGTCTAATAATGCTACATTCATCATGTAGATAGTTACAGTTGTTCTCTTCTTGGTGCTGCAACTGAAGACCCATAGAGCAGTCACATTAACAAATAATCCAATTATGAAGATACAGCTATAGAATACCAGTGCTGCAATCTTGTATTCTTCTGGTTGTAAGTTAGTAGAAACAGAATGATTTTGATTATTTTGGGTAGCCATCTTATTTATTGTTGAACATGATACCTAGAAATGGAAAAAAAATATATTAAATGTATCCTTACAGAATTCTGAACCTGATATAAATCAGTCACCTAGTGAGCTTGGGAGAATTTTTTTTTAAACTTTTAGAGCATGATAAGGATATATTTGTAAGAGATTATTGTAGATGTATCATAACTGATTGGAACTTATTTCAGTATTGTGAAGCACAGGTGGAGTTTTTTGGCTTTTTTTAAAAAAAGCAAATATTTATTGATATCTTCTGTTTTCATATCACCATCATTCTCAGTATGTTTCCCTTATAAGTGCAGAAAAAGTTCAGCAAAACTAACACATCAGCTAACTTCTTAATTATGTATTAAATACCCTTTCCTTTTCAAATAAAGGAAGGAGATACATTCTCATATCTCTTCTGTTTTGAAAAACCTAATTTTATAAGTTTTGCATGACTACACATGTGTAACCTATATCAAATTGCTTCCCTTCCCAATGAGGGGGGTGGCAAAGAAAGAGAGAATTTGGAACTAATTTTAAAAGCATATGTTGAAAAATTGTTTTTATTTGTAATTGGGGAAAAAGAAAATGCTAAATTAAAATGAAACAAAAAAAAGAAAAATCTAATTTCATTTTTTTCAATGAACAAAAATTTACTTTTCTTCTCACCCTTCATCCTGTCTCCCAGATAGAAAAAGTAAATCACATTTTTTGTAATAAATAAGTATAGACAAGCAAACTAAGTTTGCCCATTGAACATGTCTAAAAAATGTCTCATTTTCTATCCTGAATCCTTCACCTCTTTTAAGAGAGAGAGCATGTTCATCATGAGTTCTTTTAGTCAATGCATTCATCATAGTTCTTAAGCCTTTCAAAATTGTTTGTCTTTAAAATTTTGTTATTATTGTATAAATTGTTAAACTTTTTTGGTCAACTTAGCCCATTTGATGAGAGTGAAGTAGAATCTTAGAATTGTTTTAATTTGCATTTCTCTAATTATTAGTGATTTAGAACATTTTTTCATATGTCTATTAATGGCTTGGATTTCTTCCTCTGAAAACTGCTTATTTATATTCTTTGACCATGTGTTATATGGGGAATGGCTCTTATTTTTATACATTTGGATCAGTTCCCTACATATCTTTGTCAGAAAAAAACTTGCTGCAAAGTTCTAATTTTAGCTGCATTGACTTTGTCCAAAAATCTTTTAATTTTACTTAAGAAAAATTTTCCATTTTTTCTTCTGTGATTCTTTTGTGAGTCCTTTGTTTGAACATGAATTCTTCCCCTCTCCATAGATCTTAGAAGATATTTCCTTCCTTGCTGCTGCAATTTGTTTATGTTGTTACCTTTTATGTATAAGCCAAGGTGAGACATAGCTTAAAAAGGCCAAGGTCTCCCACTATATTTGGGGCCATCTCCAGTCGTCCTGATTTATGGCTAGCTGCTGGACCCAGATGGCTCCAGAGGAGAAAGTAAAGCTGGTGACTTTGCCCAGCTCTCCCTCACTTAAATCCAATTCTCTTGCAAGTCATGTTATCACCTTCCTGATACCATGGTCCTCTTCAAGAACAATAAGGGCAAACAACAATAAGCCAACTAACCAATTTGGAGCTTACCTCACTTTATGATGTGAATGTTTATCTATACCTAATTTCTACTAGATTGCTTTCCAGTTTTCTTAACAGTTTTTGTTGAACTTGTTCTTTCCATATATGTTGTTATTATCATTGTTTATTTTGCTTTTCTGTTTCTGCTTACTTCACCTTGTATTAGTTCATATAAGTCTTCTCATGAATCTCTAATATGTTAATTAGCCCACAGTTTGTTTTACCATTCCCCAAATGATGGGGCAACCACTCTGTTTCTGGATCTTTGCTACTAAAAAAAAGTGTTGCTAAAAATATTTTGGTGTGAATTGGAACTTCTTTTTATCATTGACTTTCCTGGGGCACCATATATTCTGGGCAATGACTGAGTCAAAGGGTATGGACATTTTAGTCACTTTTTTTTTAAAAAGCATAATCCTAAATTGCTTTCAAGAATGGTTGGATGATTTTATAGCTCTACCAATAGTTTATTAGTTGATTGTTTTTCCACAGCCCTTCCAACATTTATTATTCCTATCTTTTGTCATCTTAGCCAGTTTTCTAGGTCTTAAGGTAAAACCTCAGGTTTTTTTGTTTGTTTTTTGCATCTCCTTAATTTGCCTTTCTCATATTATTAGTGATGGGTCACGCATATACACTATCTTCCAACAAGGATTAATAATTTAAATTAATTGAACTAAGTGGGGAGGTCAGTTTGGCTTAGTAGATAGTGAAGGTGAGAATCTTTCACAATGTGCTTTTATTACTTTAAAGTACATTCAGTAACTAAAATTAGGTTAACGGTTTTTGGCAAGCAAAGGCTCTGGGAGAGGTTAACCTTAATACAAAAATATTAAAATTCTTCTATGTAAATGAATAGTATTTGAGGATCATTTGTTGAACATCAAAGTATTTTAAATATTTCTCCTGAAACTTTATTTACATTATTAATATGCATTATTTATGTTAAAAACAGAGATTTATTAGACAAAGTTAAGCATAGTGTAGTTCCCATCCAAATGATCCCAAATTACAAAATAATGATATCTAAATTAGCTAGATATGACCATGTCTAAGTAATACTTCCGTATACAGCAAAGTACAGATGAAAAACTAATTACAGAAATGCACAGATGATCTAGAAACAGCCCTTTCAAAAGTACTTTTAGGTGTGATTACCCGCAACAGTTTACAATTCAGTCTTATGAAAACATTCATTAGTCAAGACTTTCATTAGTATTATTTCCTTTAAATGTTTTGTTTAGTCAAGGTTCTGGGAAAAAAACCCCAAATATTTTGTACAGGGTTCTGAAGGTCAAGAGACTTTGGATTATTGTAGCAATCTTACTTCAACCCGATTCAAGATTAAATTTTAAATGTCATGCAGATCTATAGCCAATGTTAATTTCTATGATGTTATGTAGACTGTAACAGGATTACAAATTTTTTGAGGACAAGGATATAGATCTGTCATTTTTCTTTTACCTCCAAAGCACACTGATGTATCATACAGGTACTCAAGTGGATACTTATTGAATCAAATTGGAAAAGATATTATCAAAGCTTATAGAGCCTGAGAAGACAGTCAATAAAATGAATTCTGTGCCTAACCAATAGGTTCTCATTTCAGGCTTCAGAGCATAGTTCTCTGTATTTTTTTTCAGTTAACCTTGCTAGATGATATCCTGACTAAAATCTTGAAATGCTCATTACTACTGAATGATAGTGATAATAATAATAATGGCTTCCATTTATGTGACTCTTTATGGTTTGCAAAAAGCTTTTACATACCATAGTCTCATTTTTTCATCCTAATAACCTTATGAGGTAAATAATGGAGACATTATTCCTTGCATTTTATATGTGTGAAAACTTCGATTTATAGAGCTTAAGTGATGTACTTACTCATAGTTACCAGCTGTTTAAGGGCTCAAGTAAGATTCAAACCAAGGTCTTCTCCTGACTCCAGAATTCAACATTATTTGAAACTAGTCTGGTCACAACCAACCCTGATAGGATAAAAATTCAGAACAAGAACTACTTTTGCTCAATGTATCAGTTAATGACAAGAAAGACATCTTTCAAACCAAAAGCTTTTTGGTTATTTGAATTTGCATTGACTTGGGAGTGATTATCATCTTTTAGGAAGTTGTAGTGCTTACTTTTCTAGTTTCTCATGGCCACCTTTGCTTTCACCGAAAATGTAAAGTGCTTTTGAACTTTTTAGGGGAGAATTTTATAATACTTCAATTCTGTTGATATTCTAGGGTGTTACAGAATTGGAGTTAGAAGTCTGCAGTCCAATAACAATGCATTTCAACATTACTTTTCTTGTTTTGATGTTTTATTTATTTTGCCTTTTGTTTCTTTTTTTAACATACCAAACCTTAGACAAATAAAAAGTTCCTTTGACCTTTATCTTGGCTTGAGTAATTCCATTCCAATTCAGTAAACTTGTATTAAGCTCTTTTAAACTCTTTTATTAAGTTCTGTGCAAAGCCACAAAATTGGGCACCGGAGACAAATTCTGTACAGATGCTCAGGTCAGGAAGCTTGCAATATAACCATATAAAGAGGTGTATATACATTTGATACAGGAAAAATGGGATAAGTATAGAGGAAAGGCCCACGCCAATTTCCACGAGAAATTTTAGGAGTAAAGGATCGCTTTCATCCAGAGGTGGGACAGGGCTTTGATGGAGGAAAGTTAGGGAAGGTTTCATAGAGGAGATAGCATATGATTTGTACTTGAAAGAAAGGAGGCACCTTGACTTCAGTAGATGGATCTGGGGGAAGAGGCCATTCTACATAGTGCAATAAGGCATGAATAAAGGAGAGGGTAGGATGAGACTAGAGGACTTGAGAGTTTCTTGAATAAAGGGTACATGAAAAGAAGTAGTACTGAAATAAGACTAAAAAGGTGGGTTTGGGCCAATTTATATATGGCTTTGAATGATAGAAGAGTTTATGTTCATATTAGAGTCTATGAAATGATTAAGACCCAAAAGGAGAATCAGAGGGACCTCTATGAGTGAAATCCACATGAACTGAACTAATACCAAAACAAATGGCTGAGTCCTGCAGATTTGTTAATGGAAATAGAGGGGTTTATAGGCAACTCAGGCTCAGGTCCTTGCCACTAGATATTACAGACGAGTTATACTTATGGGTCTTAGACTTTTGATCAGTGTAGATTATGCAAAGAGATGTTTTTAAAATGTGCAGTGTGTCACTGTAGGTCACAAAGATTTTGCACTTACTGAATACCCAGCAAGACCTGACTGGTGGCTAAGACAATAAATTGCTGTGCTATAGATATAGATTTCAAATATCCTTGAGAATTCAACAATAAATTGAACTGGAGCGTTAACAGCAAAGCTGTTAACCTATAAATTGCCTGAACATATCATTGATCCATAAAATTTAAGAATGTTTTTAATAGATGTTGCTATTCCAAATACTCAATCTCCAAGCTACATGGAATGAAAAGCTTTCAAAATATAGAGACATAACAGAAGAAATTAAAACCATTTGGAAATAGAATGATGGATTTATAGGATGAGAGACAACCTATTTTCTTCCTAATTTGTTCTGAAGATGCTTTCTTTGAGAATACGGAATATAAGCTTACATCCCAATGCTTTAATTATTAAAAAAAAAAAGCAGCTATTTTATCTACTTGTTCAACAGTCCACCTAACATCAAACATAAAAGAATGGTAGTAGGATAATGAGTTGTCCCACAACTATTTCAACTGGGCTCAATTGGGAAAAAAAAAAGAAAAAAATGAACTTTTAAAAAAAATTTTAGTTGAGCTTGTGGGTTTTGTTGGTAGAGAAACTCCCTCTTACCAATGCAGATTGGTACCTTCTCTGCAATAGAGAGTTGCCTGTGGTACTAGGTGATTAAGTGATTTCACCAGGGTCACCCATCCATTATGTTTTAGAGATGGTATTTGAATCCAGGCCCTACTAACACCAAGCTGACACTAGCTCTCTATCCACTATCCCATGCTGCCTTCATCATCATCATCATCATCATCATCATCATCATCATCATCATCCTCCTCCTCTTCATCATGCTATAACCAGTGCATTATATAAGTAAGTGCAAACTTATTAATACATACAATCTGAGAAAATTGATGGTGTGGGATGATAGTAAGTGGAATAGGGAGGTATGTGTGTGTATACATTGAACTTATTAAAGAGGTAAGACAGTATAATACACTTTAAGGTTTATGAAACACTTTACGTAAATTATCTGTTAAGCTTTACAACAGCCTTGTGAAATAGTTATAATACAGGTATTATTGTGCCCATTTTACAGATGAGGAAAACTGAATTTCAGGAAAGTTTAAGTGACTTGCTCATGATCACATAGCTGCTAGTGTTGCTACTGCTAACTACTGTTTGATATTTTTATAGCATCTTAAAGTTTGCAAAATGTTTTACATATGATAGCAGCTGTTAGGGAATCTTCTTAACTCCAGTTTCTCAACTCTGTCTATCTGCTGGGCATATGATGTCTCATAAAGTGATTCCTTAGAGGTAAAAAGAATAAAGTGCTTTTCTGGTACCTAACCAGGGTCATGCAGGAGCTAATAGTATGGCAATCTTTACGCGGGGGTCCTCTGTCCAGATTACCCTTGGAAGAGATTATCCAAAGGAGTGAGTAGGTCTAGGAACCTAGATAGATGTTCCAGCTTACAGTCGGTATGATCTTATGGATCTGTATGTACTTAATTAATGACTGTTAAATAGATTAGCAGATTTCTCCTTATATTATTAAGGACAACATCTAAAGCTTTGCAAGCTAACAGATCTCTTGAAGGATGAATTGGGAAAAAAAAGTGGTACAAATGGATTTTAAAAGGCACTTGATGTCTTTAAGTATAGAACATTGTTACGTTTTCAAAACTAGAGTCCTTTTAAAGTACATATTCTCAGAATTTATCTGACTTTGTTTCTAGATTTTTTTAATGTGCATATGAAAAACTAGTTTAAACCAATAGTAGAGAATAGTTACAAAAACCTTTTTTCTTTAAAATGAAAATAAAGTAACAGTGATTGCTATACATTTTAATATTCTTGAAAAAAGGTAAATAATTTATGAGTAGGTTATAATCTATATATTCTAAGATTATTCATTAGCAATGTTTTAAATAACATATTTAAACATGTATCTTTGAAATTTTTAATTTTTTTTTATTAAAAATCATATAAGAAGTCAAATATTCCTTACCTTCTGTGCATTAAAGTTATATGTAGGTAATCCTTTTTCAGTGTGCCCAAATCTGTAAAAGATGAGAAGTCTTTCTGTTGCTTTTTTTTAACTTGCTCTAAAATAAGTTGTTCATAAGCCAGTCTAGGTCAAGAAATACAGCTTCATTTTTCAAGTTTTAGGCTTTTTGTTTAACAGTTTATCTTATATGCTAAGTCCAAGGTTAAGTACTTGTAAGACTGTTTTTTACTACTTTGCCTCTTTTAGCAAATACTCTTTGAAGTAAAGGTGTTTTTTTCTTTTTTTGTTCATGACATCATCATGGATGTATTTTTTCCCCTTCATAAATAGATTCTGTTATACAGTATGTATGTAACATTAGCCCACAAAAGAAAAGTGAATAGTATTTAAGAGAGACTTTCTGAGTAAGAAATGGGAGAAAAATGAATGTTTCCTTTGAAAACTGAATGATGCCTTTGCTAACAGAAAAAACAGTGCTATTTAGTATGTGTATCAGTGACTTCAGGAAAATTAAATACATTTAGAGATCTGAAAAGTGAAAGTAAATCTTATAAATTATATTTTCATTTAAAAGTTTTCTAACAAATTTAAAACGAACACCCACTTTGCCTGTCCTCTTTAATTCTAGTGCCATTCCTCTGTTCATTATCTCTAATTTATCTCGAATATACTTACCAGTATAAAATTGTTTGCATATCATCTCCCCCATTAAACTGTGAGCGCCATTAGCCAAGAACCTGTCTTTTGCCTTTTCTTCGTATCCCCCGGTGCTTAGCACAGAGTCTGGCATATAGGAGGTTTTTACTAAACGGTAAAACCACCAACATTTGTTTTCTTTCTTAGCTCTGTTTTCTGTATAACACTCACCACTTTTCACTTTTCTTCTCGAGCAGTCATCATTTCTTCTTCCTTTATATGAGAAAATAAATAACTTTTGACTTCCCCAAAAGCTGCTTTAAAAAAAAAGAAAAAGCATTTGGGATTCTTTACTGTATTAATTTACATACTCCGGGTATGCTAATGAAAAAAATAAGTTGAAACTGATAATAAGGGAAGTAATGGCCCCAAATGAGGCATCTAGAAGCCTACTGCTTCCTCCTGCTCTCCTCCACCCCCTCCCCTTCCTTTTCACAGAGGAGGTTGGTAACGAGGAAGGATTATTTTCTTATTGTATATAACCCTTAAGCCTTTCATTTGTTTTGTTTTGAAATAAATTCATTTTCATATTTCTTTCTTGAAATCCTTCAACATTATATTTTCTTAAGTGGAGTTACACAGTTTGATTCTTTGAAAAAGGTTAAGGCTATATCTGCACACAAACTTGATTACGTTGAAATAAGTATAATTGTCAGTTATTAAAAAAACTACTATAGTCAGTTACAGGTTGTTTTAATTAAATAGGCTGTTTTAAAAGTTAATCAGTTATTTGAATTAAGCTGAGTTTTTTGTCTTAAAAAAACAAACTCCTTTTAATCTAGGACAAAACAACAGTAAGGCTGTCACTACTACTCCTGCATGCAGTTAGCATCTATTTTTACCATCACATGACTGTGACCTCAAAAATCAAATCCACTTCCTTTCAGATAATCTAACTATCCATTGACCTTGATACATCATATGACTTAATGATGTTACCTTTTGTGCATCGTTGTTATGTGAAGAGAAGTCAGGGGTGTAGTGAAAATGACAATATTAGGATTTTACACAGGAAGTCCAGGATTTGAATTCCAGTTTTGCATTTTATTCAGTCACTGTAGCATCAAGTAAATCACTTAAACTCTCTGGGCTTCTGTTTCCTTATCCTACAGATAAGGGTATGGAACAGGATGATTTCTGTAAGGTCTTTTCTAGTTATAAATGGTAAGAATAACATTTAATGGCATTTAAAATATATGAAAATACGCCATTTCCTTAAATTGTTGTTGATAAGTAATCCTCCTTATTAAATTTTGTGGTTTCTCACCTCTTGCTTGATGCTTATGCCGTGCCTCCCTTTTAGGGAGGAACTTGCTTATTTCTCTTATAGATTCTCCAAACAGTGCTCTGTTTTTTTCTAATATATTGGCTTGTTAAATAATAAGGTTAGAAAGAACATATTATTTGCTGACAGAGAAAGTCCTGTTTGCTTACATAAGATGAATTTATTCCTTTTGCTTAGTGTGAAGGCTCAGTATTTCAGCCCAACTTTTTAATCTATTTTTTAGACCTAAAAAGCCTTCCCCTTATTGAACTTTGACTCTAGGCACTAAAGAGTGACTACAGTATAAATTCACCTTAAAGTTTAACATTAGTTTCTTAAAGTCACAGTGACAGAACTTTAAAAAAAAAATTATAATTACTAGGTTGTGTACAGTAAAATAAAGCTATTTTGGAGATTGTTGTTAGTGTAGGCAAAATAGTGGCAAAAAATGTCAAGTATACCTGTGTTTAATATAGAAAGTCTTCGTGCAGGAGTTAGCTACTATTTAGCTAGAATTTTAATACTTCTATTTACCTGTGCTTTTCAAACTCAGACTCAAAGAAGAATTAAGTATACTTCCTATGTCTGGGACTGTTAGACTTCTCCCAAGCTCTGATAGTGTCAGAGATGCAGCCTGGTCAGTTTCAGAAAGGCTTTTCAGTACATATTAGTCCAAAGTCAACAAAGTCACTACCTAGACAAAAATCAGAGCACTGTGGATACCTGAGAGAGGTCAAACCAGACATATGGCTTTTCTGGCTGCCTCCTCAAGGTTGACATTTCAAAAGAGACACAAAGACATGCCTACATTAGGAAAGACTCCTAGGAATTCCTATAATGCCCATTCTTAAATCCTGAGAGATCACTTAGGCCCAAGTGACTCTGAAAACAAAGACTACCACAGGACCACACAATAGCAGCCTGGCTAAAACTACCCAGCTTCAGGTCTGCTCCTCTTCCTACAAATTTTCTCACTATTTCATAGCCCTACTTAACCATGATAACCCCTTATAGTCTGGCTTCCTACTTTATCATTCCCTGAAACTACTTTTGCCAAAGTTACTAAGGATCGCTGAGTTGCCAAATCCAGTCTTTTTCTCAATTGTCATTCTCCTTTACCTCTCTGTATCCTTTGACGTTGTTGATCACTGTCTCCTCCTTGATACTTTTCTCTCTGGGTTTTCAAGACACCGTTCTCTTCCGATTTTCTTCCTACCTGTCTGACCATTCTTCTGTCTCCTTTGCTGGATCCTCCGCCGGATCATATGCTCTAACTGTAGGTATCCCTTTGGATCCTGTCCTCAACCCTCTTCCCTTCTCCTTCTATACTACTTCACTTGGTGATAGCTCACATGGATTTAATTATCATCTATATGCTAATGATCCTTTCTTTTAAAAAAATTTTTAAATTGTATTTATTTATTTAATTTTTTAATTTTAGGCAGTTGGGGTTAAATGACTTGCCCAAGGTCACACAGTTAGTGTCAGGTGTCTAATCTGAGGCTGAATTTGAATTTAGCTCCTCCTGACTCCAGGGCCATTGCTGTATCCACTGCGCCACCTAGCTGCCCCTAAATTTTTTTTAAAGGAAACGGCTTTATTCTACTGAAGGTTCATCTTATAGCATTCAGAAAATTCTTCTAAGGACAGGATTCAGGATTCATCATTTGCAGTATTTATTTCCTCAATTCAAGCCATCTGATCTCTCTCTCTTTTTTTTTAAATGAAGAAGTAGCTGGCCTGGGACACCTCTTTATTTTTAAAAAACACTTATTAGTATTTTATTTTCCCAATTACATGTAAAGATAGTTTTCAGTATTCACTTTTATAAAATTTTGAGTTCCAAATTTTTTCTCCCTCCCTCCTTTCCCACCACCCTCCCCTTGTAGGTTATGTATGTACAATCATATTAAACATTTCCATATTAGTCATGTTGTGAAAGAGGAAACAACACAAAAGGAAAAAACCACGAGGAAGAAATAAAGAAGTGAAAATAGTATGCTTTAATCTGCATTCAGACTCCATAGTTCTTTTTCTGGATGTGGATAGCATTTTCATCATGAGTCTTTTGGAATTGTCTTAGATTAGGTTTTTCTGAAATCTTCTGCTCATCATTTCTTATAGCACAGTAGTATTTCATTACATTCATATACCACAACTTGTTCAGCCATTTCCCAGTTGATGGGCATCCACTCAATTTCCAATTCTTGGCCACCACAGAAAGAGCTTATGCTAATGATTCTCATATCTGCCATTCCTGTCCCAATTCCTCTGCTGACCTCCAATCTTTTGTTTTTTTTTGGCTAGGCAGTGGGGTTAAGTGACTTGCCCAGAGTCATACAGCTAGTAAGTGTTATGTGTCTGAGGTCGGATTTGAACTCAGGTCCTCCTGACCCCAGGGCCAGTGCTGTATCCACTGTGCCACCTGGCTGCCCCTCTGTCCTCCAATCTTGCTTCTCCAGTTGCTTTGCGGACATCTCACTCTGGATGTCCAGTAGCCATCTTAAACTCAATATGTCCGAAACAGAACTCATTACCTTTCCTCTAATCCCACCCCACTCCCACCCTCCCAATCAAGGAGGAGACAGTGATCAACAGTGTCAAAGTATTGTAGAGGGCTACAGCATACTCCCAGTCCCTCAGAATCACAACCAAGGAGTTACCCTGAATTTTTCAACATCTCTCACTTCCCATTCCAATGTCTTGCTAAGGACTGTCAGTTTCACCTTTGCAACATCTTTCCTCTGACACTGCCACCACCCTGGTGCTGGCCTCTATTAGTTCCCCTCTGGACTGTTTCAGTATTCTGCTGGTGGATTTTCCTGCCTCAAGGCCCTCCCCACTCCAGTCCATTCAGCCACTGAATTTATTTTCCTAAAGCATATGTCCAACCATGTCCCTCCCCTGGTTGGTAAACTCCAAGGGCTGCAGGATCAAATACAAACTGCTCTGTTTGGCCTTTCAAGCCCTTCATGACCTAGCCCCCTTCCACTTCTCTATTCTTAACAACATGTAATCTTTCCATTACCTGACATGTACTCTTCAATACTGTGATATTGGCCTCCTGGCTGTTCCACAAATGAGACACTCCATCTCTTGATTGAAGGTTTTTTCTTTGGCTGGAATACTCTCCTTCCTCTGCTCTGACCTCCCTGGCCTTCTTTAAGCCCCAACCAAGGTCCCACTTTCTACAGGAAGCCTTCCCCAACCCTTCTTAATTCCATTGCCTTCTTTCTGTTGATTATTTCGTATTCATCCTATTTATAGTATAGCTTGCTTTGTATTTATTTGTTTGCGTGTTGTCTTGCCTATCTGATTGTGAGGTCCTTGAGGGCAGGCAATGTCTTTTGCCTCTTTTTGTATCCCTAGCACTTAGCACAGGATCTGATAAATAGTAGGCCCTTTCAATATATCTTTATTGATTGATTGATTGATGGCAATGAAAAGCTGCTATGCTACTAATTGTCTGATTCTTTTCCTTACTAGAGCTAATACATTGCTTCTCTAAACTTCAGCACAATAATAAGCCCATTACATATTAACTAACAAGCCCATTTTTATGATAAATAACTTTTCCGAAACAAAAAAAAAGATAGTGAGAAGACTGGCGTTGTCTGGCATTTGCATGTTTTTGCGAATCTTTTTACTATCTGGCTTAATACAAGGCAGCTGGATTCTTATTTCTGCTTCTGTAATAAATCTCTTGCGATGTGTTTTTGTTGGAGTGTATGAAGAAAATCTGGCCTCACACAGACATGTTGGTAAAAAAAGGGAGGAGTATTTGAAGAGGCAAATAATGTCTCAGTATTGTTATGAAAATAGTTTTGATCTCACAGACCTCCTGAAATTTTCTCAGTAACCTACAAGGATCCTCAAACCACATTTTGAGAACTACTGCCTTATGATATATACCTTGCCCATGATAACAAATACTTTTTGAAGTGGAGACCTGACAAATCTTTGTCTTTGGTCCCTGCCTCCTCTGCCTCTGAGTGTTGCACCTGGGTTGATTGCTTTGGACTTCATTCTCCTCTTCCTTTCTCCCTCAGTGTCACCTCTGTATATGAAAGATCAAAAATTGTGTTTCTAAATGTATGCTTTT